ATCTATCTATCTATCTATCTATCTATCTATCTATCTATCTATCTATCTATCTATCTATCTATCTATCTTAATGCAGTGGTGTAATTTGTCTCCTATAGAAAGGAGAGCAAACAGAGATTGTATTAAGTTATTTGCCAAGCAACAGAGTAAATATTCCAGTTAGCAGCAGTTCACTGCAGCAACATTCCAAGCAGTGACAGTTGACTGTAGCCTATATAAAGGAGTTGGTCATGTCTGTTCTCATTTCTGAAAACGATGTGCAGCTCAGATGTGATCCCTATTTATGCATTTCAGTCTTGAATCTTAAACATTTGGACTTGCTGACAACTTTGATCTGGCTCTTGAACCTGGAGAAACTTTAAATGGCTCCTTTTCATGGTCCTCTTTAAAAAAAACATTTGCAGGCAAATCTTTGCTTTGTTTAACATATAAGACAGTATGAATTTATTGTTATGCCTGTTACCTGAAAATAAAACTGATAATTTCTCAGGGAATGGCTTGAGTGTATGAGATTGAAACTAGAAACAGTATATAATTAATCTGAATATGTAATCTTATAAATAACTTTGCTTGATGCATTTACTGTCTACTAATCTACCTAATTATTCATTTTTACAGATGGGTCAGTTGTGGATCTGACTAACAGTTCAATTTTCTCTCTCCTCTGTCACTTCTTTTCCTCTCTTTGTCTCTTATTTTACTGCACTATTTGTTAATGAATACCATAAGATTCATCAAAGTATGAATTTGATCAATAAAACTGCTGTATCTGAATTCATTCTCCTGGGATTTCACACCATTCGTTCAGTTGAGATTGTCATCTTTGTTGTTTTCTTCTTTGCATATGCATTAACCATTGCAGGAAATGTCACATTAATTATATTAGTGGTGGCCAATCGCCATCTTCAGTTGCCCATGTATTTTTTATTGGGTAACCTCTCATTTCTTGAACTCATGATCACATCAACTGTAGTGCCTAAAATGCTAATAAATATGATCACAGGGAAGAAGACAATCTCCTTTGTGGGCTGTCTTACCCAATCGTTCTTCTATTTTCTGATGGGATCGACTGAATTTTTCATATTAGCTGTCATGTCCATAGATCGTTATATTGCAATTTGTTACCCACTACGCTATGCTTTGATTATGAACAATAAGACTTGTTTCCAGTTTTTATTGGGGTCATGGGTTGGTGGTTTCATGATTATTTTAATTCCCAGCATTGTGACAGCTGGATTACCATTCTGTGGCCCAAATATTGTTAATCACTTCTTCTGTGACAGTGCACCTTTACTCAAACTGGTCTGTAGTGACACATTGCTGGCTGAAAATATTGATTTTGGGACTTCTTGTATATTACTCTTGGGATCACTTTTTGTAACCACTGTATCTTACATGTATATTATTATTGCTGTACTGAGAATACCTTCAGCACAAGGTCGTCAGAAAGCCTTCTCAACCTGTGTATCTCACATCACTGTGGTAACTCTATATTATGGGAGTTCTATATTTATTTATGTCCGCCCAACTAAAGGAAATGTGCTTAATTTTAACAAAATGGGCACTGTGCTGAACACAATAGTGACTCCCATGTTGAATCCTTTCATTTATAGCCTTAGGAATGAGAAAGTGAAGGTTGGACTAAGAAATGTCCTAAAATCATTCTTAAACAATGAAACAAAAAACTTTAAAAATATAGACAGAATCAAGAAATAGCAATTTAAATAATCCAGCACAGTACAGTAGCATAATGAACAGTCTATTTCAAATGAACTTAATAACACATATTGGGAGGTATAGCTTTTATTTATTTACTTATTCATTCAATTTCATCTGTTTTGTTTTGTTACATGAGATCATAGAGAGCTGATATAAATCAGGAGAAAGTTAATATCATTTGACTCACTTTTCTGGCAAGCAGTGGCTGTCACTGCCATCTGTTTACTAGAAGTTCTGAGGTCAACTATACTCAATTCCTCATTTTGAACATCAACTTCATTCTAAAATGTTATTCTGGCCATTTTTTCAGTAATGCAAAATGTCACTGATCGAAAATAATTGGTAGTCAAGAATGGGTCCAATGTCTTCTTTTAAAGGATTTTTTGACAAAATAAGAGAATTGGGACCTGCTTTGATTAACTTTGTCCTGTGTTAGAGTATGTGCCTTCCTCTTACAAAGATCTTTTTAATGAAGAATTGAACAGAAGTCATGAGGTAACAGAATTCTATCCAACAATAGAGTATCTCTTGAGCATAATATCTGACATGAGGTGTCCTTTTTCAAAACTAACTATTGTCAATCAGTCCACACTCTTGCTGCTACTAGTTAACCACGGAGTTGGAGGTGGGGTGGGTTTCTTAAGCTAATACTTCATTTTATAAGGGCATATTAAAATATTTTCTGGATGATACTATAGACCCAATTACTGAACAGTAATAATGCATATACAGTAATGGTCACTTGGAAAGCCCACAGTCCTTGATCGAAGAGTTGCAGCCCCCTTTCAGTTCATTTAAGTCCCACTTCTATAATTCAGAAGATAGTAAAAAAAACAAAAACAAAAAACAGCCATTAAATCAATGAGTCTGGTAGCCTGACCTCTGTGGACCTGTTCAATCCTCTTTTAAATCATCCAGGAAGGATGTCATTACCACAAAAGCTGGCACTGAATTCCATCATTTAAGTAGGCACTTGGGTATATATGAATGAATTTATTTATTGATTAGCCCTTGGGCCATATCAAAGTGCAGAGTTCCAGAAACAAATCATTACAAAAGTTTGGTAAAACAATTTAAATGAAATTGGAATAACCCACGATTAAAAATGCAATTAGAATAAAATACGATCTAAAATGAAATAAGAATAAAATACAATCATTTGAGATACAATTTAAATATGATTAAAATTATATTATAATGTCACCTCTGCATCTACCCAATCAGTCTTAAAACTACTATTAAAATTACATTATTAGATCAAATGGTCTTTCCTACAATCTACCACATTCTGCTGCTCCAACTTTGTCCTTTTTCCCATCAACTTTACCACAAATTTAGCAATCCATTTCACCAACTGCAAGTTAGTACTAACATACAATGTTGCAAGAAGTGCTCTTTAGACTTAGGGGTGCTGGTATAAAAGATCCTGCCCAGTTGATGTTCCCTCAAATCTGAGTATAGGGGGCAATCAAAAATTACATGGGACATTGTTTCAACTTCCCCCGTCCCACATAAACAGACACTTTCTCTTATTTATTTATTTATTTATTTATTTATTTATTTATTTATTTATTTATTCAATTTATATGCCGCCCTTCTCCGTAGACTCAGGGCGGCTTACAGTGTGTTAAGCAATAGCCTTCATACTTTTGTATATTTATACAAAGTCAGCTTATTGCCCCCACAAACTGGGTCCTCAATTTACCTACCTTAGAAAGGATGGAAGGCTGAGTCAACCTTGAGCCTGGCGGGATTTGATCTTACTTTAATTGCAGACAGCTGGTGTTAAATTACAGTGCTTAGTCTGTTGAGCTATCCAGGCTCTTACAGGGATACCCTTATACCTACCCCAAAGCATGTTTGTTTGAAGTTGGTCTAATCTCAATTTGGTAAAAAATCTACTTAATAATAAATTTCAATCTTCTAAAACTCTCTTAAGACTTGTGTCATGTCTTAACACAAAAAGATTTATAATAGTATAATTTTGCATGGTGGCATGTTCTAAAATGGTGTCCTTCTTTAGGAAAGAAAAGCAACAACTTTAATGGATAGGAAATTTTACTTCATAAGTTTTAATTCTCTAATATGTACCAAGGAGATTTTCCAACCTATCCACAGTCATAGTCTAATTTTTAATGAATTTCAAAAGCAATTATGATTACTTTAATGAATCCATGAGTTTGGGAAGAAAAAAGGGTAATGAATTAATTTCTACAAAATTTCCATGCAGAAAAACTTTGGAGATTTGACAATTAGTTGGTTTTTTGGACACTTGAGGATATCTGTACATTGCACTAAGGAAAGATAACCCTAATGTATACATTATGTGCATTTCTTAATAATGTTGTTTATGACCAACCAGTCAATTTACATTTATTACATCAAGTATTTGATTGCTTATTATAGAGATCTATATTGTATAGATGGATGGATGGATGGATGGATGGATGGATGGATGGATGGATGGAAGGAAGGAAGGAAGGAAGGAAGGAAGGAAGGAAGGAAGGAAGGATCCAGGCTTTCAATATTTGCTTTCACAATGCCATTTGAAAACAGATGTTCCTTTACTTTTTGTATATATGTTGAAGAGGATGGTTACTAACTTTGCCTTAAGAGACAGCATAAGAAACTGTGTGGCCATCATAAAATCATATACTGGAATAAACAAGAATTTGGGAAGAAGGCATTTAATTCAACCAAGAAATTGGTAATCTGGCAGGACCTAGAAACTTCATGCCTGTTCTGATTTTCAAAGCATCATTTGAGAAGAATCCTAGACCTCTTAAAAATCAGAGTATTTGTATAAATTTGTCTGCACAGCAATCCTTTTAGCCTGTTGTTATAAATGAAGTGATATTTTAAAAATGCCGTTGTAAAATAAAAAGTATTACTTCAGTTTATTTTTCTTTGTAGATTGAAAGTTAGATTAAATGCTAAAATTTAATATAATTACAAATGGAGAGTATTCAAACTGATTTGGTATTACACTTGCAGTTGCTTCCTACTTCTTTGTATTTTGTCTGACAACTTCTGTAAAGCATTTGCAGTATTTCTAAATAATAACAATTGTAAAATATTATATTGTAAAAGGCTTATGATAAAATTGACTAAATAATTTTATAAATAACAAAGATGCTGAAAATATATATCAGGTTTTAGCAGAGTATTTTAAGTTATCCTAAATAGAAGAACTGCATCATCTGTAAAATCCTGTTGAATTTTAAACTCAGCTATTATAAAATCAAGAGCCATCACAGTGTTTTCTATTGAGATAGTAGAATAGATACAGGAACCCTAATTATTAATTTAACATTTTATGTAGGTAATAAATCCAAGTATTGGAACAATACACCATGGATTTTGAACCGTAAAGTGAATCATGCAGATATACTGTTAAGGAAAAAAAAAAAAGGACATATAATCCATTCTATAGATTGGGTTGAAATTGCCAAAGTTAAAATAAAGGAACTGAGCATTAATCCAGCATTTACATTATATTGGTTAATACCCTGTTTTCTCCAAAATAAGATATCCCCTGATAATAAGCCCAATTGGGCTTTTGTGTGCATGGCAATAAGGCCAAGCACTTATTTCACAGTTCAAAAAAATATAAGACAGGGTCTTATTTTTGGGGAAACATGGTAATATGTTTTAAGAAAAGAAGATCATATAATACAAAATCCACAACTGGATATTATATATAGGACCAAAATAAAAAGAAGTATGGGAGGGATTTTCTTTAGCAAAAATGAAAACAAAATTAACCATTCATTAAATCTTTTAAATAATAATAAAAAAAAGAATTCCTTTTATTTTCAAATTATTTAAACTTAGATTTTCATTAAAAAAAATATTTTCAAAACATTGGCAGTTCTCTCTATAATTATCCCTTGTTATGTGAGGCCCAAGAATCTGTTATGGTTTTTGTTTGTTTTCAATTATTATACTGAGCAGCCATGGGATTCCTTGTTCTGAAGAGTGCCAATTACATAAAAAAGAAAGGAAATTAAAGGATGCATCTGTGGGGTTTTTTTATTATTAGAAGACATATGTAATACTTGGAATCCAATTTTAGCCATGTTCTTGAATGTAGAAAATTATAGTATGCTCAAAGATAGAGGGAACAATGAAATTCCCAAAGTGGAGGAATGGATTGTGAAAATTACAGAAGTTGCTAAGATGGCAAAGCTAACTTACCTAATCAAAGCAAAAAGACCGGAAATCTTATGTGGACTTTTTGATGAAAAAAGAAAAGTAATGATATGATGATTTAGGAATTTGACGATTAAAAAAGATCCAGATCAAATGAAGGATCAAAGAGATTTATAAAACATCCAAGAGGAAGGAATAATTGTAAGACTGCAATTGTCAGTTGAAGAAATATTTGGAAGTAGTTACATTTGATAACTTTAGTTTTTCTTTTTTTTCCTATTTATTTTTATGTAAAATTCTCCATAAATCTAAATAAAAAAGACATATTGCACTAGTCTAGCCAAAATGTGATGCTGCTAGGGATTTCTGTTCCAGGAAGGGCGACAACTAGAATATAAACCAAAATTGAGCAAGGGCTCCCTTGCCTATCTATCTAATAGAACCACATGCTAATCCAACCAAAGTAACTACCAGAGCTAATAGGGAAACACATGATTTCCAAATAAGCAGCAATTTCAACATGCAGGGATTCCATTTCAGCTGGTTTCTTCCTATCCAGTACCTTACAGCTTCCAGATACCAGATCAGGAATTCTACAGCATATCTGGTCCAGTACAGAATAGAGGTATATCCAGTGGTGGGATTCAATTTTTTTAACAACAGATTCTGTGGGCGTGGCTTACTTGGGGGTGTGGCTTGGCAATCATGTGACTGGGTGGGCGTGGCTAGCTGGTCACATGACTGTGTAGGCGTGGCTAGCTGGTCACGTGACTGTGTAGGCGTGACTAGCTGGTCATGTGACCGGGTGGGCGTGGCTATGTGCATAGGGACTACCCAGAGGGCTG